TTGTAATAATTTTACCGGTTTCTTTGCTTGTGCAGAAAGGGGAGATCGGGCCCTATGCAGTTGAGCAGCTGGGGATGGGGTCTCCTTCGGAGGTTGCCCGGCTGAAGAAAGAGAACGAAGAGATGGGCTTCATCTTAAAGAGCCAGGCCGACGAGTTGACTCGGTTATCCGGAATGGCTGGGGCGTTAAAAGCTGAAGTCTCCCAACTCAAGGAGGAGAACGGCCGGCTTATGGATGAAGTTTCTGAGGCTAAGAGGGAAATGGCGGAGAAGGAAGAAACCTTCCCCGGGCGCGCAGCCGCCTGGGTTGAAGAGAACAAAGCCGATGCTGCCCGGGTGATGACGGCGACTCCGGAGGCCACCATGGAATCCTTCAGGTTTCTGTACCGGGAGCCTGAGGGAAGGAAAATGATAACCGCGATTGGATCTTTTGGTTCAAGAGCGGTCAGAAGAAAGACCGGATTGCCTCCCACCGGGTATTGCTGAGAAGGGACCCGGAGTTTAGCGCTGCTTCTTATGGCCTGACACCTATCCCAGAACAAGAACCTACTCCCCCCTTCCCTCTTGAGTGAACTCCCCGGCTGCGACCGGTTAAGTCTTTATTTTGTAAAACTTCAAACTTATTTTCCCGGGAATGCCCGGTGTAACTGTAAAACACATAACATTCTTATTGCGTTTGAATGCCATGTTTGTTTTTCGTACCGGTGAATCTCCCTTATCTGCTCGCCCTTAATTGATATTTTGCTTTTGCTTCTTGAAATGCCTTCGCAAAAATTTTGACCGGTTAAGCTTCGATTCTTTGCTTTGCTTCTTGATAGCATCCAACCGGTGTAACTCCAACTTGTTTTCGGATGTATTTAGGTTGAAGGGTAACTTGAACAAACTTGACCGGTCGAACTCCAACTTTGACCCGTTGGACTCCAACTCGATGGTCAACCCGAGAATGTTTGACCGGTCGAGCTTCATTTTGTTTTTTGAACACCTTTGTCTTGTTCTGAAAGTGAAGCGCAGGTTGACCGGTAGGTCTCTTCTTCACGGTCTGACCGGTGAACTGCTTCGCCTTGTGGAACTTTCGAAGTTCCGCTGTGCCAATACCCAACCGGGGTATTCTTTTTTTTTTTTTGACCGGTAGGTTGTAGATGGAACACCTGTAACCTAGTGATTTCCTGAAGTATCCTTAACCGGTAAGAATACTGGAGATTTAACCATGTTCGGATGGTTTCGGACCCTCTCCAAGATCCATATGCACCCTTCTTCTAGGGCCCCCTCTTCCGGGTGATTAAGTCTTTTAATGGCCCTTTTATTTCTACCATCCCGGGAAGGCCTTAGCTCACCCCCCGTTCTAGTCTTCCCTGAGAAGGGGGAAACAGGATGCGCCACGGTGGACGATCCCCTTCTATTTCTTTTAATGGTCCCCAATCAGTTTGACGGTGCCGGCTGATTCCCCGATATCGATCAAACCTCATGGGCCCGTGTAAGTACGGTTCGAACCTTCTTCCAGGTCCAGCCCTCTTGCAGGCATACCCTCTTCCGGGCCCCTCTTCCGGGTTTTATATTTTTTTCTATTATGCTGAGCAAGACCGGTGTAGTAACCAGCGTGCCAGGTCCGGGCCTGTGTCTCAGTTGGCTTATCCGAGTGGATCCGATCCACCCGGGAAGCCCTCCTATGATAGGTTCGACCTATCAATTCTGCTGCTACCATGTAGAGTATCGAACTTTGATTTGATTGATAATTGAAGTAGGCCTTGCCTAGTATTACAGTCACTTGTAGAACTTGCGAAGATGGTGGGAATTCCAGGTTCTTTCAACCGGTACACCATCTAGAGTTTCTAACCGGTAGGTTCCCGGGCGAATGATAGTTCTCACCCGGTAAGGTCCTTCCCAGTTCTTGGCCAGCTTGCCTCCGTCTCCAGGTCTACTAGCCTCCCTTCTTCGCAGAACTTCATCACCGACTTGAAAGTATCGCGGTCCAACCTTGTTGTCGTGGTATTTTTTTACGACTTGTTGATATGTGCTCATTTTAACTTCCGCGGCCATTCTCCGTTCTTCGACCAAATTGAGTTCGGCCAAGTGATCTTCTTCATTTTGCTGGGGTTGATAATTTGATTCCCGAAATGTTGGGAATTCAGCTTCGATGGGCAGCCTCGCTTCACACCCATAGGTTAGGGAAAATGGAGTTTCCCCGTGAGCCCTCCTGGGTGTTACTCGGAACGCCCAGATGATATGTGGGAGCTCTTCCAGCCACTTGTTGCCCGCTTCTCCCAACCGTTTCTTTAGGCCATCCACAATCGTTCAGTTGGCGTTTTCAACTTGGCCATTTCCTTGGGGGTACGCCACCGAAGAGCGATTGTGCTTGATTCCGAAGCCCTCCAAGTATTCGGTGAATCTTGAATTTCGGAATTGTGGGCCGTTGTCGGTAATTAGGTTCATGGGAGCCCCAAACCTTGTGATGATGTTCTTCCATATGAACTTCTTGCATTGTTGCGTGGTGATATTGGCCAAGGCTTCGGCTTCAATCCACTTGGTGAAGTAATCGATGGCCACGATTACAAATTTCTTCCCCCCTTGGGCAATTGGGAACGCTCCGATGATATCAACCCCAAATCTGGCGAATGGGATGACATTTGATACGGGGTGATAGTAGGTCGCCGGCCTACCGGGGTACTTGTAGAACACCTGGCAGGTTCTGCACTTCTGAACGTACCTCTCACAGTCTTAGACAATTGTTGGCCAGTAATACCCCAACAAGATGATTCGCTGTGAAAGGGTGCGGGACATTTGGTGTGCTGCGCATACACCTTCATGGACTTCTGCTATGACTCGTTCAGCCTCCCGGTTGGTTAGGCACCTCAGTAGGGGTCCCCCGAATGCCCTCTTGTACAGCTTTCCGTCAAGGACTTGGAACCGGGGTGCCCTGAGCTTAACTTTTCTTGCCCGGTCATCTTGTTCCGGCAAGGTCCCATCCATCAAATATTCCATCAGATCATACATCCAGTTGTCATCCGCCCCGACCAAGTTTGACCGGTCAGACTGGCTTTCCCCTGTTATGGCGGCTACTTCCAATTTTTCAATGCTGGCATAATCAAGAATTTCTACCCGGGCAAGCTTCGAAACATGCTCGGGAGCATACTGCGTCAATTTGGAGAGAAGGTCTGCATCTGCATTTTCCGCCCGGGGGATTGGGGCGATCTTGAATTCCTCAAAGCCTTTCAACAAGGCAAGCACCAGGTCCTTGTATTGCGCCATTCGCCCTTCTCTGGCTTCCATGTTACCGGTCACTTGTCCAACGATCAAACTGGAATCAGATTTGATACTGACCCGGTCGATCTTCAGGGCTTGGGCAAGTCTGAGCCCTCCAGCCAGAGCTTCGTATTCTGCCTCGTTGTTTGTCAGCTTGAAGTTGAAGATGATTGCATGGTAAATTTTGAATCCTTCCGGGGT